ATCTTCCTAATCTCCTCTTGCGGGGGTAGCTCACCTTTCTCCTTACAAAAATGACTGAGCATCCAATGCCGCTTACAATATTCAATAGGGATCCCCATAACGATGTGCACATTCTTCATGTCTGGAGAAGTCTTGGGAGTTGAACTGAATTCCGAATCTACATAAATAGAAGAGAACAAATAAGAAGGCAACTTAACAAAAGTATAAAGCAGCTTAGAGACCAAGCAACCTATTTACCATTGATGAAAGCAGTCGGAATGCGTAGCCCAAGCGATGAGTCAAATTCCCACTCTCCGCTAATTTCTAGGGTTTCCCTAGCCCAATCATGATCCCTTTTGCTCATGTGATCGAAGAGCCTATGGCGGGTCCTTAGTTGCCCAACATCATCGATGTGGCCTATGTCAAAGAAGTACTAAAACTCGTTGGCAGTCAGGTCCAAGTCAAAGAACCTACTCAAGTTATGGAACCCCACCATAATGCGGACCGCATTTGGAGAACACTGAGCAGAAGCACACTTCATAGAGCAAATCACCTATTGGAATAATTGAGGCATGGGAAAGGTGAACTCTAACACGAAGTAGTAGGGGTGAAACTTGATAACTTTCCTAGACCTACACGATTCACGACTGCTACCATCATTGGCCCGCTTCACTCAAACCCCGGGCAGAATTGCGTGCTTAAACATCTCAAGGAAGTATTTGAACTGCTCATCGGAACGTACCTTGACGTAAGCAGCCCTGAAGTAACCTAGCTTACTCGCAGATCCTCCCTGGCGACACAACAGCAGAATAAATTCATCGTTCTTATGGCTCATGGAAGACATGTTCAAAAAATATCCTACAACGGTACAAGGAAAAATTATTAAAAGGCTGCTCCAAGAAGAAACAAAAAAAAAATATAAGACCAAGACCGCATGAGCCCAGCATTGCCTTTTCTCTCCCTCATTCTCACATGGCCCAAACGGCCCGCAGGTCCATTCACAGAAGAAGGCCCGCGTCTCTTTCCCGCACTTTTTCTTTTCCAGCGCATGGGCCTGAGCCCAGCGCCATAACCTGGAAGGCCCAGCCCGTATAGAGCACAATTCTTTGCACAGGCAAGCAAAGAAGATTGCTAGAGGAGGGGGAACAAATATCCTCTAGCTTTCTCTCTTTTTTGCGAGGTTTTAATTTCACTCCAAATTTGTTTAACCCGTTGCTTGACGTAGACTTAAATAGGTTTTCGTGGCAATTACATCCCTTTTCCCTAGAAGAATTTAAATTCCAAATTAAAGAGGGAATCTACATCAAATTAATATATAAACTCCATGGTAGCTTTGGATTCCTACACCTCCTGCCCTTTCCTACGAACAACGCAGCTAGTATGGGGACATTTGTGGAGCAAAAAATAATCCAAAAAATCATGAAGTTGACAGGTGGATTATTCCCCAAGAAAGATAAAGACTGCCCATATTAAATGGGCAAGAAGTAGTCTCATTCACCACGCACAGCTGAGGTAGAGCATGCAGAGATCGACGGCTGCTCAAGGCACCCATGCCCGTAAGAAAGTCAAAGGTATTTATAATAGGATAATTCCTTATTCTTATCATAAATACATTCCTAATCATGAGAATACATCTTTCAAGTAAGTAATCATAATCCCATTTATTTAGGATATTTACCAAATTACTCCAAGATATTTATTTACACAAATATCTTGGAATATTCCCATTTAAACACAAGCCTAGGGTTGGCCACTGCTAAACCCTAGAGAGCAGGTTCATCTCCCCCCCCCCTCTTCTATAAATACACTAATCTCCAAAATTCTGGAGTTTTTTGCTAAACTTCTAAACACATCCTTTCTAGAATTCTAACTTTGGCATCGAAGATTCTTCGGCCAAAGCCCCATCACTATTCATCGAGGGCACGTGAGGCTTTTGGCCTGAATCTTAGGTGTTATTATTTTGCAGGTGCAGATTCATTAATCAAAGGAAGACGGAAATTTGCATCCACATAGAGAACACTCGTGTGATGCCCATAAGAAGGAGAGCTAAGTAATTATTAGGGTCAGGGATTATAAGTAACTTGGGGCTAATTTGAATCTGGTGAGGCAAGCTGAAAATCTCCAAGAGATGAGCAGAAAACCAAAATGATAGGGATGAAGCACCCATGTTGAAACCAAGCTCAGGTCCACCACCCCCAAAATTCGTGAATTGGGGTGAGCCACCATCATTGGAGAGATAAGGCAGGCCACCATCTTTAGAGAGATGAAGCAAAACAGCCAGCAGTGAGAAAAAATGAGAGAGAAGGGAGGGGAAAATGGGTGAAAGATGAAGAGAAAGGGAGAGGAGGAAGTAGGAAGGACAGGGAAGGGTTACCGCCTACCCACCAAACTTAAAGTGAGTGGGCGGTGGCTGGAAGGAGAGAACCTTTACTTTAATTACTCTTACAAAATTCAAAACTCCTTTTTTTTTTTTTTCTTCTCATACCTATGAACCAAAGCAGCTTTGAGTTGCTGAAACCAAAGCTTTTGTTTTGGTAATTAAAGAGAAGAGCCTGCGAAAATAGAGGCTAGAGAGGGAAAACTAGAAAGAGATGCAACTTGAAAAATAGATGGTTTGGATCATTAAAGTTCGATGTGGTGTGAGGCCCACAACTAATCTCCATTTTTATAAAGAAAAAATGAGAAGCCCTTAAAAGGCTTCCTATACATACACACACACACACACACACTAGCATTTGTCTACACACTTTGTGTGTATAAACACATTTTTTTAGAAAATGAGAAGGACAGAGGGGGAGAGAGAGAACGTGGAGGGAGTGGGGGGTTTTTGTTTTTGGTTTTGGTTTTTTATTTTTTTAATTTTAATATTGAAGGTATTTTAACATCATATGTATATGAGGCTTCAATAAAAAAAATAAAATTTGGACATGTAAAATTACATTATTGCCTATCATATTTTTGTGTAATAGAAGACTAAGTAGTCTTTTCATCCTATTTTGGTTGACAAAGAGGGTTTCATTAATTAATAGAGATATATAGGGACGGATCCGTGGCACCACAAAAAAAAAAAAAAAAACACAAGTCTTAAACCATTAGATGTATACATTTTTAATAGTTGAGATGCAATCTAATTAGTCCAATTAAATTATGAATTGGGAATAAAATTCTAAAAACCTAATTAAGATTTTTATATTTTCTATCCTATCTCATTAATTGTTTTTCATTAAATGTCGCACAACTTAGCTAACTAGCAACAGATTAGTGCGTCCAGGAATCATCCATTTATTGAAGAAATAATTGAAATTGTTGCAACCTTTAAGCCTCGTGCATCCCATGATATTAATTGTTTAACTGCAGAACCCTAACTCAATGTGAAATCTATAGCCATATTAACCCCTTGATATATATTAATTTTTTGACTGCGTCCAGGGATCATCCATTCATTGTTTTACAAATCAAATTATTGGATTATATACGTTTTGCTATTGAAGTTGGGTTCATGCCCTTATGGTTAGTCAACGAGACATGTGATTATAAGGATAGAGAAAAAAAATTGTAAAGGAAAAAAATTGTAAAGAAAAAAAGAAGTAGAGAAAAGAAAATATGCAGAGGAGAGATCACTACTGGAGAAGAAAGAAAGAGCGAAAAACATGCAGAGGATGGAAAGATAGGAAACAGAAGAAAGATTTGGGGAGAATAATTAATTTTTTTAAGTTAAAAAAACCTAATGCAAAAATATTTAAATAAAAGAAATTTATTAGACTAATATTACATCTCAACCATTAAATGTGTACAAATTTTGTGTCAGAAATATAGTGCTATGTATCTGCCCCCATATATATATATATATATATATATATTCCTATTGATTTTGAAAGAGAAATGTTATTGACTTCAAATTTTTCATTCTACACTCTAAACTTCTATATTTAGAAAGATAAATATAATGGTGAGAAATGTAAAATGAGATTTTTGAAGTGTCAATAAGACTTCCCTTTTGAAATGGTATTATAATGCCCTGTGGGATTCAATGGACCTTCGCCAGATTACACTCAAATAGTGGGACCATTTCAAGCATGACCAAATCATTGAGCAAATCAATACAGAATTCCATGTGGCCAAGCCTCTCTATCAAAGGCTTGCTACTTTAGAAACCTCTACTTCTTCCATCTTAATCGATAAGAAATTCACGTTAGAACTTAAAGAAATAGCCAGATAGTTAAAGCTCCAAGTATCCCAAGTGGGTGAAGATGATGAAGATGAAGAAATTTCCTCTTATGCATGATCCTCTAGTCAAAAGGTCAGTTCACCTCCCCAGAAGTTACATTGGGCAGACTACCGGATGCCCAAGGACCCTTATGACCTTAATGAAGAGTAAAAATTCAATTCATTAAAGATAAATATTGGTGACTAATATGGTAGCCAAAATCTACTGTCTTCAGTCTTGACGAATTTGTATCCACAGCTACCTATGTTCTAGAGAAACCAGTGTAAACACACACAAAAAAGTGCATTATTTTCAGTCATACCTATTTATTTTTAGTTTGCATTACTTTTATGAAAATACACACACACACACACACACACACACATACGTGAAATAGTAAAACCTTTCCATCAAGGTTTTTGTAAGTCTAATTTTAGTTCACATTTATTTACTTAGAGATAGGGAGAATATATGAAAGAGAAAGATGGGGAAAAAGAGGAGAAGGATGAAGAAGTTAGAAGTGAAAGCAAATCCACGAAACAAAAACTTGAAAAGAAAAACTACTTGAAAAAATGGTTTAAAACTTTCAATATCAATTTTTTGTTTCCCCTACCTTTCTCTGTCATTTTGCCGGCATTCCTCTCATACGTGTCCCATTTAACTTCAACTAGAACACAAAAAACAAAAATTGAAATGGCTATTCAACGGTTTACATCATAAAATTGAAATTGTAATACACGACATACAAACAAAACACAAAGTGATCATCACCACAATTAATACAATGCATTAGTCAATGTCAACCTTTACATTTAAGATAATAACCAAATACAAATTAATCTAACACAGTACTGCAACCAAACTCAAGATCTAGATCTAAACTGGCCAAAACCATCTTCCAAACAGTTCTCACTAATGGGGGAAAGACACAGAGATCACAAAGCTCACTGTTTAGTCTTCCCCTATCCTACCCAACAAGGCCACATTAATCCCATGCTCCAATTCTCCAAGTTTTTACATCACAAAGAAGTCAAAATCACACTAGTCACAACCCTTTTCGCCTACAACACAATACTGCACAAATCATCAGGATTATTTGGTAGCTACTTTTCCCTGGAGACCATTTCAGATGGTTACGACCAAGGCGACGTCAAAGAGGCTGAAAGTGTAGAGGCCTACTTAGATAGATTTAAGCAAGTCGGTTCGCGAACTCTGGCCAAACTCCTTGAGAAGCTTTCAAGATTAAGCTGCCCAGTTGACTGTTTTGTTTATGATGCTTTCATTCCTTGGCCTTTATATGTTGCCAAAAAGTTTAGAATAGTTGGAGCTGTTTTCTTTACTCAATCTTGTGTTGTTGACAATATTCACTACCATGGCTACAAGGGCTTGCTCAAGCTCCCTCTTACTAAATATGATCAGTCTAAGATTTTGGTTCCAGGATTGCCACCACTTGAACCTTGGGATCTGTCGTCCACATTATATGATTTTGGGTCTTACCTAGCTGTCTATGACATAGTTGTGGATCAGTTCTCCAATGTTAACAAAGCTGATTTTATGAGTTGGAAGAACATGTAAGTACATTTGGAAAATGTTTTAATCATTAATTAGTTTCATTCCTTCGATAATGATATTGTTTTAGTGCCAATTAAAGCTTTGATTTAAGTTTCAAACTGATGATACGATTTTAGTATGTAGTGTTAGAAAGTAAATAATTCGATCTTTAAGCGGGGTTAGTCTAGTTGCGAGAGTGGGTAGGGTGATGGATAGAAGTAGGCTAGGTTCAGAATTCGAAACTCTCCATAGTAACGGAATAAAAAAATTACATAATTCTTTTATCGTATTAGTAGATAACATTACATGACCAGTAAAACTTACATCAGTTTATTTCCTCAGTGAATAATTGATACATGGATGCATATTAGTATGCAATTCACTAGGGCATGTGGTTTATATAAGAAATCAGACAAAAAAATAATTGTGATCGTTCACTAATTTTTTGTATAATTATTTTGCTTTTTGTTAGGTGGTGGATTGGATGGCCAAGTCTTTACCATTGATAACCATTGGACCAATCATACCATCTTACTACTTGGACAAGTGACTTGAAAACGACAGAGAATATGGTGTCAACCTGTTCAAGCCCAACAACGATGCATGCATGAAATGGCTAGAACAACAGCCAAAAGGGTCTGTCACATACGTGGCATTCGGTAGTGTAGCACAATTCGAAGCTGAGCAAATGAAGGAATTGGCTTGGGGTTTGAGGATGAGCAAATGCAAATTCTTATGGGTGGTTAGGGAAGCAGAAGCAGCCAAGCTCCCAAAATGATTTGCAGATGAGACGTCTGAGAAGGGTTTGGTGGTTACATGGTGCCCACAACTAGAGGTTTTAGCTCATGAATATGTCAGATGCTTCGTTATGCATTGTGGTTGGAACTCGATGTTGGAGGCTTTGATTTTGGGGGTTCCGATGGTGGCGCTACCGCAATGGACTGATCAAAGCACAAATGCCAAGTACATTATGGATGTGTGGAAAGTGGGGATTAAGGTCGTGGCTGATGAGAAGGGGGTGGTGAGGCAAAAGGTGGTAGAGCATTGTATAATCGAAATAATCGGGGGAGAGAGAAAGGAAGAAATAAAGAGGAAATCGCTCGAGTGGAAAGAATTGGCTAGAAAGGCAGTGGATGAAGTTGGAAGTTCTAGCAGAAACATTGATGAGTTTACTGAAAATGTGGTTCAACAAAAGACAATTAGGGTTTAGGTGACATGTAACACCAGGTTTTCTAAGAAAGCTTAATTTGGTTCATGTTATGCACTTTTCGCAACTTTTTATTCATCAATTAAAGCTACATTTTATATAGGAAATTTTAATGAAAAACTTCCGGTACTTTCTTCCAGGAAAAAAAAAAAAAAAAAAAAACTCTCAGTACTGTTCACTGTAACGAAAAACCACATTTTTACACTAAAAAGTCAATCCTGATACTATTCACTTTACCATTTATTTTGTCCTTATTGTTAAAACTTAAAGTTTTCAAACTCTTTTCATTAATTTTCCTTTTTATATATCTAAGTTAGCAAGGTTAATTAAATGGGTGATGTAGCGGTGTAAAGTATTTTTTGGGGAAATTTTGTTTGAACCCATATAACCTCTTTCTATACCCAACTTACTCTTTTCACCCATATTAACTTTAATTAAACTATTGATATCTCTTTAAACTCATATTTACTACCTAAATTACCCTCACAAACCCAATTCAATTTGTAGATTTATCCGTACACTCATTTTGAAATAAAAACCCAAAATTTGCAAAGAGAAGTCCATTTCAAGTTAGTACTACAAAAAAATGGACAAATTCTTAATCCAAACAATATGATTGTCCTTGCAATCATATTGTAAAAGAGCTTGTTGCACTACTTTAAGGGTTTTTTTGTTTGTTTCAAATGGTCTGAATCTGAATTCTAAATGCTATTGTTTCTTTATTCTTATTTTTCTTCCCGCTTTGGTTTAAGTTGAAGTCCTCTCTCTAGTTGTGACTATCTATCAATTAAGTATAGGATTTAACCGACTATTTTTAGGGATGAATATTTATCTTTAGGACATATTTTGTTGGATGAAATTCCACATATTTTAGTTTGATTTACCGCATGCATGCATGGATGAAAATAAAGGTAGGAGGATATATCATATATGTTTGTGATGGTCAGTTGGATCAAAGAGTAATTATTCTCTTCAAAGCTCCACTGCCCCAAGATTTCCAAGCCCTCAGCATTTTCAACTTAAACGATTCATGGTTGTTCCGCCCGATATGTCATAGGAAATATACTAGTACAAGTCTATGAGGAGACAAAGGAACGAGCCATAGAATCCTCTTCTGCATGTCATTTGATTTGTTTGACCTTAGCACTATGGCATCTCCCATTGTTGTTGTTAATTTGTTTGCACTTTGGTGTTTGTTTGGGTTTATTGATAAATTTTAGTTGTATTGTTAAATTTATCTTGTACTTGATGGTAATTATGTACTAGGGTAAAAAAGACAATTAACATTTAAAGTTTAAGTTGGGTGTAAAAAGAGGTTATATGGGTTCAAATAAAGTTTTCCTATTTTTTATGATGGAAATTCGAATTTCTATCCCTAATATTTTTGAGTCAAATGGTAGTTTTTTTTTTTTTTTTTTTGGTTAAGAACTATATTCGTCTATTTTTTTTGCAAGAAACTATATATATATTCTTTATACAATGATACACATACACTAAAAGATGGAGAAATAAATTATTTGCAACCTAGTCACTTCCAAGTTATAAACTATTCAAATTCTTGGAAACAAAATTAGTAATAGACACGCCAACGAAGGTTGACTTAGCTAGTAAGGTCATTACCTTGTGTGTCAGCCCATAAAGTTCGAGTTCCCTAATAATTCTCGTTGGTGCACGATCTGTAAACTCCTACATAAATTCATACCGTGACCATTGGCTTTATTACATACCATGTATAAATCCTTCAGGTTCAAGATTTAGATATGTCTTGATGCTGGTAGTTGAATAATCAATGTCCCCCAAACTTGGTAATAATAAAAGGGTTAAACTCTGTTTACTACCCTGAAGTTTTGTGGTTTTCAACATTTAGTACATCAAGTTTTTTTCATCCCAGAGTCATACCTAAAGTGTAAATTTTGGGACAGTTTCATACATCCGTTAGTCAAACTGTTAAGTCTCCTTTTAACTGTGATATGGCGCCCATGTGGGCAATGACTAAGCGCCACATAGGTCGCCTTTCAAGTGACAACCATCCAACCCTACAAGCTGCCTACATCCATTATTAAATCCATTTTTGCAAGCCCCCAAACAAATATAAATCCTCTGAAATATCACATGAGCATCACCATAGGGCAGTACCTTTATCTGAACTGTACTACCCGGGTTTGTCCTCCTAAGCGCATAACAGTACTCCCACAACTTTGTGTACTGATCCATGTTACTCCCCTCAAGGATTTTCAAACACTGTGCTCTCACTCTGTAAGCTGTCTTGATGTGGATCTCAACCATTCTTTCCTCTTTCACTGTCTCCATAAATGTAGTGATGGGCATGCTTGGGTTGAGTCTGAATTTGTCCACATACCTCTTGACAAGCCCTGCCACTTTGCAATTAGGATTTTCCCTCCAAACCCTCGGACATTCATGTTTCCCAACATAGGTTTTCACTTACATTGAATCTTCATTGTACATCCTGGAAGCATACAATCTTCATGGATAGTTTTTCTCACACCTTGCACTAATCTTCCACTTCTCATTCCTTTTTAACTTAATAGAAGGTGCACCATACTTAATGGAGTGAGACCACACTGCCTTGCTCAATTGTGCAGCATCTCTGAACTTCAATCCCTTTTCAAACTTTGGATCATCTGTGTCGGCTTCTTCATTACACTCAAGGTAGATGACCTTCTCATCACATTCGGAACCTGAATCGTCAACACTGTGCAGGCCATCTGAGTCTTATCTCTCATCATCAAGGGGAACGTTTTCTACATCCCTTGCATCAATAACGTCTTTTGGATGTTGGTTCCCAACCCATTCACCCCTTTCAACATCTCCAACGACATTTTCTACAACTGTATCATCTACAGCACGACGATCATCATCTTCCAAACTGTAGTCACTGTCCACAAACTCACTATCTGTAGTGTCATCCTCTGCATTTACTGCCACAAACAATGCATATTTGTTAAAAACCTAAACTTCGCAAAAATAATTGAATATTGAAATTAAAATTGCAAAAATAAATGTTTCAAAAATTTTACCTTCATTAGCTTCTACTTCGGTCCCTTCATTAACTTCTTCAGCTTCGTGACCTTCTTCAGTTTCATCACCTTCATCATCAGCATTGAGAGGACCATCTTCAGCCTCATCTCCACTTCCTTGTCCTCCCTCAGTTGCTTCAGCCTCATGTTCATCATCACCATTGTAAGCTATGTCATTCAAAAGACATAGCCATTTTTCTAAGTCATCCGCACCCCCTTTTGCTCTACCCTTCTTCAGTTTTGATCCACTTCCCTTTGTAATCGAAATCGCCATCCTCGATTCCTCAATATCTTCTATAATGACACCTTTTTTTAATATGGCACTCTTATCTAGATTCATCAAAAGCTTATGTTTCAAGGCAGCTTATTTCAAACTTAGATGTTCTAGGTACATTTCTATTTCCTTAACCCCTGGAACATACTTGCACATTTCACCCACATCTTGGTCCCGTTCAATAAGCCTTAATCCCTCCCAATAAGATATCCCAGGAATCCTATAGTGATACAACATAAACCCATCATATCTTAACTCTTTAACCATTTCATCAATCTCAAAAAAAGACATGAAGTCTTTGTCTACATAATCAAACCAAGCCTTAAACCCTTCAATATATGCACTTTCAAACCACTTCCCACCGTGGTTAATTTTAAGGCTAAATAATTCAGGCATGCCTGGAAAGTCAAGGAGAAAGGTGAAAACAACATAAAATCCTGTAGGCACATGGGGAAAAAGGTGAAAACACTAGTGGGACCATGAAGAAAAAAGGTGAAAACAAAACCATGGGGACCATGAATACAGTTCCACCTTTTTTCCTGAAACCATAGGAAAAAAAGGTGAAAACAAAACCTGAAGACAAAACCACATGCACAACCCACTACAAAACACAATTCCAGAAACAATAGGAAAAAAAAAAAAAGGATTGGAACTCACAGATCCCTAATCCCTAAAATTCAAAATTGAAAAATCGAAAAGCCTAAACCCATATTATCTACACTTCGAAAAAGGTAGGTTACTTACAATAAAGTGGTGTTTCACCCACTTTGATCCTCCTTTTTTCCCACCCCATCGCCAACGAAGGCTTCACGACAATCTTTCCTAGAAACGTGTGCGCAACGTACGACGGCATAAGAGGTGGAGCGACAGCGAGGTCGAGTGACGGCCCGTGGGTAGGGTTTCGGATGGAGATGAGGGTCGCAATTACTTTTCACTTTTTTAGGGGGAGATGAGGGGGGTCGTGAATTTTGAATTTTGAATTGTTTTTTTCACCGAAACCCTTTTCTCTTATAAAAAATAATAATAATAAAAAAACAACGTGGACCCACGTGGCAGCTTGTCATTGTCCACATGGGCGCCACGTCACAATTAATGGGAGACTTAATAGTTTGACTAACGGATATATGAGATTGTCCCAAAATTTACACTTTATGTATGACTTTGAGACAAAAAAAAACTTGATGTACTAAATGTTGAAAACCACAAAACATGAAGGTAGGCCTGGCATTTTGAACCCGACCCGACCCAACCCGTTAAAACTAGTATTTGGGTGGGTACTTAACGGGTTGGGTTGTTAACGGGTCAACCCGTTAGTCACCCGTTAAGTAACTGGTTACTTTGGGTCAACCCGTGAAACTCGTTAGCACTCGTTAAGAAGGACTTTTATGTAATTTCATAGTTGGAATAGAAAACCTAGCTCTCTCAGTTCTCTCACGTTCGAACCCGGACTGAGTGGCTGCCGTTCACTAAGTTCTGCAACCCTCTCTCCGATAAGTTCCGATTCCCTTTCACTTTTTCTTCCATGGCAATTGCTTTTCGTTTTTGTAGATTATATTTTTCGTCTAATTTTCTCAGTTTTTGCTTGAACCTTGGTTTAAGGTGGTACTCTTCAGATGAGCTTCGAATTAATTTGGAATTAGTTGATTAGTGTTTGATGATTTCGATTGCGATTGTGCTTTTGTTGTGCAAATGGTGCTTTCTGTGTGTGATTGTGCTTTTGTTCTCTTCCTTCGCAA